CCTGGACTATTATAATTCATCCATCCTGTGCCATGTGGACACCTCTTCCACTTGCTATCACTCCTTTACCAACTCTGGGAGTCACCTTGGAGTGTAACTGTCTGTACTGAATCATAATGAGAAAGCTGATTTAAAACAAATAAGCAGTGTCTCCTCCTACTAAGCTCACCCTCAGCTTCCTGTCAGTTTGGCATGTCTGAGTTGTCAGGACAGCCCAACACGGCACGGGACTATGTCTGCATTATATTAAACACATTCGCTTGACCCTAGCCGGCCCAATCCCCTGTACTCCATTTACTTGAGCTGGTACAACAAGGCCCAACCCCCCCTTTCCATGTTCCCACCATGTAGGGGAACAGGGGAGAACAATCCCATTACATTACAGCAGACCCGGAGCTGATCTGATGGAGAGAACATTAAAACCATGTCGCGTACAGTCACTTATTTGATGGATCCTGGAAGAGAGAGATGATGAGGAGAAGGAGTGGTGGAGGGAAGGGCTTGGAGGGCGTGCGGTTAGAAGCAGTGTTGATATGACACTGTGGATGCAGGAATTGAGAATATGTGATGGTACAACAGCGCCCTTGAGCAAACTGTCATTCAAACTACTTTAATTAATTTCTCCACCTTGTGTTCTTCCTCACCTCCCTGCCATCACACACAAGAGTGCATACACGAGGCTGTAATATAACAGAAAATACATCAGTGGACTCGATAAACAGTGGATTTCATAGTGGAAATATGTGGCCTTATGTCTGTAATTGTAAAGATCCGCCAGCTCTGACTTCCCACTCATCAGAAAAGGCTGAAGCAGGCATTTTGGAAACCCACCATTTTGTAAAATGGAGCTTTGTATTGTTAGGGTGTATAATTAAGATCTCATTGTGACAGCCATTGAGAGAGAGCTAATGAGGATTCTGATGTATTCCATCTGAATATGAATATTGGATTTTTAATATTTCGTGGCTTCCTAATTGCCTTCATTGCTGTTAATAAGGTTGACTGTTGAATATTACCTAGACTAAAGCTGAGAGGTGGTGAAATAGTCGCATTCCTACGCTTAATTCTTTGCTTTATGATTGACATGTACTGTATGTATCTATAGGGCAGATACATATCTTGACCCAGAGGCATGTCTGTGACTGTGAATACTTATGCACCACTCTTTGATTCCCTTAGTAAGATGAATGTATATATAATTACAAAGTGTATCACACGCACTACCTTGATATAGAGTTTAATGGCCGTATCCTTTCTTTGTAGAGCATGTCTGCTGGCCTTAATCTTCTGTACAGCTGACATCTTAATAACTCAGCCATCTCTATTCATTTCCACAGGAGACATCCGGATGTGGGGGAAGGATTAGCTTAATGAATTTGACAATTAGTAACAGAAGTTAATGACTGCATGGGGCTAAGTACCCTGATGGACATGGCTTGGGGGGGACTGAGGGCTTCCATTTCTCTGGGCCATAGATCCTCATTTATAGCTTTTCTGCCTGTTGGAGAAGACTGGGGAAGCCAGGCAGGCCTTTGTTTAGTCTGCCTCTGACTGGGCTGCCAGGGAGTTGCACTGTTGCACACTGCCACGTCAGAATTAGTCCTGCTTTGTGCGTGAGTGAATGCAGGGCCACGGGTCCTTGAACAGGTAAACCTTCATTTTGTGAACTGGGGTCATTAAATGTTGAAAATAGAAAAGCGACTTGGAATTGGGGCAGGGAGGGAGCCCTTTCTCAAATCTTGTGCCAGCAGTCATGAAGAAAGAAAAGTGGCTTGTGGGTCACAGGAGTCTGGATGACCTCTGCCTTGATTTATTGTTATTTTAGCATCTAATGCAGTCGTTTAGCCAGATAGCTCTAAAGATTTTATTGTTCTACTGTGCTTCATGAGCTACCTTGTTGCTTTATCAGGTATTCCTACTATAAACAATTTTGATAAATTCTTCTGCTACCATAAAATCAAAGTTCATATTTTTATGGCACTATGAATACACAAGGAACAATTCCCATAGTATCCATCAATTCAGAGCTATGCATTCATATGCCCGTTCTTCACAGTAAATTATCCTACCTTTCCCACAGAGGATGAGAAAGTATTTGTAAAATCATACCCATAGCACCATT